ATAAAAAAATAAAATAAAACAAATAAAATAAAATAAAATAAAAAGATTTCACTCATAATAGACCATAGACCTGTATCTAAAACCAAAGACTAAATAAGAACGAAGAGAGATTATGTAAAGGTGCAAATTTCCAATGATGAAGGTCATTATATTGTATACCTTAAATGCACCAATAAAACAAATTTTTAAAAAAACAAAGACTGTAAACATCAGAAAACATAGGAGACAATCTTTGTGACTGGCTCAAGCAGAGATTTCTTAGTTACAACCCTAAAATACCAATCCACAAAACAAAATGAACTTTTTTTTTGGTATCAGGGATCAAACTTGTATTCTTATGCTTGTGAGGCAGGCTTTTGAGCTAAATCCCCAGCTCAAAAGAAATGTTTAACCTGTTGAATTTCAACAAAATTAAGAACATTTTCTATTTGAAAAACACAGTAAGAGAATGCAAAGAATATCCAAAAATCATACATTTGATAATTGCTCTGTATCCAGAATAAAAAACTCTCAAACTCAATACAAAAACAAATAAACCAGACTCAGTAGACTATAGTCAGAAACTTGGGAAACTGAGGCAAGAGGATTGCAAGCCTGGGAAACCTAGCAAGACCCTGTCTCAAAATAAAATTTTAAAAGGGGTTGGGATGTAGCTCAGTGCAAAGGCCCTGGGTTTAATCCTCAGTACCACAAAAATCAGAAAGGGGAGGCAAACTCTCAATTTTTAATAAGCAGGGAATTCAAAGAGGCAATTCACTTAAAAATATTTATTTATGACAAATAAGCACATGAAAAGATGTTCAACATCATTAGACATTAAGAAAACTCAAAACCACAAGGAGATACTACTTCACACCAGGTAAAATGACTAAAATGAAAAAAGCTGACTACACCAAGTACTAAATAAATAAATATGATTCAACTACTTGTGGCTGTTTCCTAAATGTTGTAAGCATGCACCTGCCATTTGATCCAGACATTTCTAGTATTGACTCAAGAAAAATGAAAGAGTAGACAGGTAGTTAGACCTTAGCAGGCCTGATGCACAGAGGGGTGGGGTGGGTTGGGGGTCCAAAGTACCATGCTGTGCCAGTTATAGCTAAATGAAGAAACAAAGACCTCAGTGTATAATGCATTTATAATCATTTATTAGGTCTCTACCTGAAGCACAGGGCCTCTGTTTCTAGAACATGGCATACAGTATTCCTGGTTGCCATGGCTTATGGCCCAGTGATATCTGAAAAGGAAACGTTCTTTAAAGATCCTCCCATCTTGGGCTGAGATCTGATTTCATTCGAATTTATCTTTCCTAAATTTCTTACATGATTAAGGGAACACTGACCATCTAAAAAAGACAGATATTTTGCAATTCCAAAGTAACTTCTAAGAAAAATGTCAATAAGCATTATAATTCCTGAGTCCTAGGAATAACTCTTAAATGTCTTTGTGACTTTCTCTCTGGATCTGCTTTACAATAAATTCTGCCTTTACTCCTGCATGATGGTCTATGTGTGGACTAAATTCTTTCTTCAATGGCACAAAGAACCTAGGAGGAGGAGAAGAGGGGCCAGTATCACCAGCATCTGGGTCTAGCTTTCCTGGTGACAAAAACGTACCCACACACAGTCTTGTACATGGATCCTTCTAAAGCTTTATTTATTTACATATTTTTGGTACCGGGGATCGAACTCAGGACCTTGCGCTTGGGAGGCAGGCGGTGGAACCACTGAGCTAAACCCCGGCCCTAAAACTTTATTTACGTAACTGGAAGCAACGGTCAAAAATGTCCATCCACAGTGAACTGCAGAACTACCTGTGGTAATATCCATACAAATTAATACTAGTAAATACACTCTACTTAGCAATAGAAGCAGGGCACTACTGATAATGCAACCATGGACAAACCTCCAAATACCCTGAATAGTCCTACAAAATGTAAACTGCTCTGAAGTAACTCAGAGCGGATCCCTGGTTGCCTGGGAGCGGAACCTAGGGAAGGAGAGATTACCAAGTGACAAGGAGGCTTTTAGGGTTGATGGATATGTTCATAATCTTGGCCGTCGTGAATGGTTTCACGGGGAAAACATATGTCAAGTTGCACTCTTTAAATAAGCGCAATTTACTGTATGTCAGTTATATCGGAATGCTTTTTAAAAAGAAAAGGTCCTGTCATCTGGCGCCCAGAGTCCCCCAACGGGAAAGCGGCCAGGAAGAAGCGCTCATTGGCAGCCCGCACGCTCCAGCCCGGCTCCCACACGCAGGGCGGCTCTGGGTGCCGACGAAAGTGCTGGAAGGCCCGGAGCCGAGCAGCGCTGGCCGCAGTTAATCATTAGCCGAGGGCGGCCCGAGCTCAGCCGAGCACGGCCCCGCCCCGGAGCGGGCCCCTAGCGCCCGGCCGCGCCTTCCCCGCGCCGCCACCTGCTGCCCGTGCACGCAGACATGGTGAGCCGGGCTGGACGCCGCGGGGGCCGGGTAGCGGGGCGCAGCGGGAGGGAGGTGAGGGGGTCCCTTTGAACCCCCTGTGTCGGCCCCTCGGCCGGCCGACGGTGCCTGGGGCAACCTAGGCCGGAGAGGGGCGGTGACGGGCGGCCCGGCCCGGCGGGAGCCGCGCTGCGTGTGACTCCTGGGCCAGGGCTCACTCGGCCGCCGCACAGGGGCGGGTTCAGCGATCGGCGGGGTGCCGGGCGGACGACGGGAGCCCGAAAGCGTGAGTCGCCGGGGGTGCTGGGCACTGCCCCCTCGGGATTGCATTTGGGTGCAGGGTCTGCCTGGGACCCCGCCCTCTGCACCCACCGAATGCTGTCCTGGCCTTTAGACCCCACCCCTTCCCCTCCATGGAGTCTGTGGTCCGCAGGGGGGCGCTGATGGCTCAGGATCGCCCCTCCAGGCCGAGCTGCGGCCGGCCCGCTAGGCCGCGGAGCTTCAGCAAACAGACACTTCAGGTCCTGGGGAGTGATTGGGAGCAGTCAGGGACAGGATGGAGTTTGGACATCTAGGGCCTGGGGAGGGACACTGAGGCCCCAAAGATTCGGGCTTGGGTAATGAATAACCCTTCCGCATACTCCCCCAGAGACAGACCTGGGCCTGATGGTGATTTATTGAGCAAACAGGGCCCCCTCCCCCTCTGACCCCAGAGCTCAGAGGGTTTGTCCTTCAGGCCCCAGGCCTGGGACAGAAGAAGCTCTAGAGGACGCTAAAGAGAAAATGGAGCCCACCTCCCACCCCCAGCTCACCTGTATCCACCCCCAGTTCACCTGTACCCACCCACCCCTTTGGGACCCGAGAAAATAGTGCTTCTTGATGCCTTGGCTGACAGGTGGTTGCCTGGATACAGGGACCCGGCAGCCACCGGAACTGGCCAGCTCTGAAAAGAGACCTGTATGTTGGCCGGTGGTGTGGATCTCTGCTGCCACCTCTGCAGCCACCAGGACTCAGGACTGGAGAGGAACTAAGCCCTGTCAGTTCAGAGAGGGAGCTCTGGTTGTCAGGAGGGAAAGCGGACTTCACAGAGCTCTGCAGGGCTTCTGCTATCCCATGCTGCAGGCCCTCACAAGTCTCCTTGTGATTTTAGAAATGCAAATGACATTTGCTTAATACCATGCTGTTCACTAAAGTGTCCCTGGGGCACCCCTTGAGGATCTGTAAGGCAGAGGTTCTTGTCCCTCTACCCACAAAGCGAGAGAGGTGAGTGCCACAGTCCTGCTACTCAGCCCAGGGCGTCCAGTCTGTTGGGCTGCTTCATAAAGACTAAATTTGCCTCCTGCATGCGCTTTCCAAGACCTGATTGGTTTCAAATTCAGCACTGTGTCCCCATTGCCCTTCCATGGTTCTGTCTTGAAGTCCATGCTCTTGGATCTGTCCCTTCATCTCCTCCACCTGGATCTCCCCAGAGAACAGGACTGACCCTTGCTTCCTTGACTCCTGTGAGGGTCCATACACAGCCAGAACCACACCACTTTCAGCTGCTTTGAGGGCACCTGGCATTGCAAACAAATTGCATGGGGTACTGGGGCTGCCATTTGCCCTTGGACCAGTTACTGCTCAGCTCCCCAACCTGCCAGGAGACAGAAAGTCCAACAGCCTAGGCCTGGCCACTCAGGGCAGTGGCTACAGTTGAGGATATAGGGAAGGTAGTGCCAGTGGCTGTCAACAGCAGTGTGACTCAGTCACCTGGAAACCTGAAATAAATGCTGGGCCTTTGGCCTTGCCCAGGGACGCAGACACAGAGACCATGCTCTGAGAACCTGCCTGAGTGTCACTGATGAGGGGTGAGCAAGAGAACACCAGATGGGTCATGTCCCTGCTGATGGCCTCAGCTTCTCTTCGGTACACCTGAAGGTTACTGTCAGGCATGGGGTGGAGAGGTTACACTAGAGCATAGTCAGAGAGCTTGCATGCTTGTGACACTTCCTGAGAGGGTGGGTTGTAATACATTAGATCTGGGCTGGATTTTGCTTTTACTTCATTGATTTTATTTGGGGGGCCCTCTGTGAGGCTTTGGTGGGGCTTCTGTCCCAGTGATTGGCATTACACTTCCTTTAGGGTTTTCTTTCTCCAAGGGGAGTGTAAAACCCAAGACTTGAAAGCCTACTGGTGAACAGGTCACGTTGGAGCTCCTGGTCTGTTGCTTAAAGACCCACTGCTCTTTGATAGGTCACCTGTGACTGTTATAGCAGCTCAGCTGGCTAAATTCCCCCAAGGGCTTGGGGCTCTGTTTTGACCTATAAAAGGAAATGCCCTGGGCCCATGTGCTTCTCCTTTTCTAGGCTGGCAAAGCACACAGGCTGAGTGCTGAAGAGAGGGATCAGCTGTTGCCCAACCTGAGGGCTGTGGGGTGGAATGAGCTAGAAGGCCGAGATGCCATCTTCAAGCAGTTCCACTTCAAAGATTTCAACAGGGTATGTAGAGGAGGGGACAGCATGCCAGCCTGGGGTGGGGGATGCCCTGTGGACTTGTTCCCCTGCTTCAAGACCTGCTGGTCAAGCCCAGCTGACCACACTAATCCAGTCTATGTGGGTGCTATGCCAGTGGGAAATTCACTTCCCTGGATAACTGGGAAGTGTCAGGGAGATGGGCCTGGGGCCCTCCCTACCTGGAACTTTTAGGAACAATCCTCAGAGGACATACTTCAGGTAGCAAATGGATGTACATCTAGTGACATTGTAATAGCCAAAAGGTTGGCAGACTAACCTCCTGTGCTCTTCACTTTGCTGCTGATCCTAGTAACCAGACATCCTTCCTGCTAACCTCTAACTCAAGCCTCAGGACAGGGAGTTCCCTGGGGAAAGGACTAGAGCCAGGGACTGTGCCTGGAGGAAGGAAGTCCATCCTCCTGCACCTGGGGCTTATAATGGCCATAAAAAGGTACCCCAGCATCTTTTCCTCAGAACACTAAGTTGGCTCTTGCTTCACTCCAACAGGCTTTTGGCTTCATGACCAGAGTGGCTCTGCAGGCTGAAAAGCTGGACCACCATCCTGAATGGTTTAATGTATACAACAAGGTGAGTGGGGCCAGGCGCCCTCTTGTCCTCTGCCCCAGGCCAGTTCTGAGAACTGTGACTCACTCGGAAGGCTCCGCTGCGGGCCTGCCTCACTTGCTCATTCTGTTTATCTCCTTTGACTCAACATAAACACCGCTCCCAAATTGGCAGTCTCACTACAAACTAAGAAAATACAAATTAAAACACTGTGAGATATGTGGACTTACAGTAGACACTAAGAAGTCAAAAGCCAAGACAGGCAATGCTGTTGGAACAGGACATACTTATTCATTGTTAATAGCTCTAAATGGCTTTAATCTTTCCGCAGGTAGGGAAGAATGAAATAGGAATAAACTGGGAACTCAGAATATCTATGCATAGCAAACAGATTGTCTGCTCAGTGAATTGAGGAACAGTCATTAAATGCCTGCCACGTGCCAGGAGCTCTGCTGGACTGTTTATAAGAATGTTAAGAGTGGAAGACGCTATCTGTAAATAGACAGTGGTTAGCAGCCAGCAGTGGTTTTGGGGTTTGCCTTTAGTTTTCAGGTTACTCTTGACATCTGACGTCACATCAAGGGGAGGCACAGTAGATGCAGACCTGTCAGGTAAACAGTCCCCAGGACAGATGGTGGCAACCAGCTACTGTTCCCTAGAGGGTACCATAGTGGTGACCAGCTACCATCCCCAGCAGAGATCCCAGTGATCAGCTACTGTCAGTGACCATCTGCTATTCTGGAGCTCTTCCTGGAGCAGAGCCTAATAGCTAGCGATTCTCTGCCACTCTTCTGCAAAGTCGGTAGTCGGCAGGCCCTGAACTTCTGGTTTTGTTTCAGGTGCACATCACCCTGAGCACCCATGAATGTGCGGGCCTTTCAGAACGGGATATAAACCTGGCCAGCTTCATCGAACAAGTAGCAGTGTCCATGACATAGGCCCGGCCCTTCTTTGCATTCCTAGGGGAGGGGGTGGCAGAACTGCAGGCAGGGAGGGAGCTGAGCCCTCCCCCGACCCTGCAGTCAGAACTGCCTTGTTGACCCTATTGCCTCCATTTAAGGGTGAGTCCTTGCTGTAAATACCAGCATCACCGCCAACGCCAGCAACTGAGCCCTTCTCCCTCAGCCACTTTCTTCATCCTTGGGGCTTTGTTATTTCTACTGTTTTGAATAAGCTTTGCCTTTCTTTGGAACTTACTGGCATTCTGAATGGTGTTCTTTCCTGGCGGGGTCTTGCTAATTCAATTCCCAAGCAGCTGTGAAGGGTGAAATAAAGTCCTGTCTTAGAACCCAGGACCCTAACGCAAATCCCACCCCATGTCTCAGAAACCTGTGCTTTTATGTCACCAATAAAACTACTGTATCACAGGTCTCAAGCTCTAGAAACTTCTTTCCCACAGATCAACGCAAGTTAGTCAATAGGCATGTAATTAGCTGTGTGTGTGTGTGTGTGTGTGTGTGTGTGTGTGTGTGTGTGTGTGTGTGTTACTGAGGACTGGACCCAGGGTCTTGCACATGCTAGGCAAGCACTGCTACTGAGCTACACTCTGGCCAACAGGCATCTAAATGACAGCACTTCACATTGGTGCCCTCGCAGCCTGGCCCCGGATGTGTGCCACCGAAGCTTTGTCCTGCGCCTCTCATCCTAAGGAAGCACAGCTTCATCATCTCAAAAGAAAACAGAGCCTGAAAAAAAGAAAAATCATGGAAGAAGGAAGTCTTCCGTGAAAAATAGGAATGCTCTTTTGTCGAGTGAAATAAGGCACCGTGCTTAATTTTTCTAAATCAGTTTGCCTCACCAGACTATAGCCAGATGAAGTGAGAAAATGGGGAAATCTACTGAAAAAAATTTAAGAGTAAAGCTGCCAATTTCAAACTTCATTCTTTGCTAACAGGTGAAAGTGCTGATGTAACAGACATGATTCAACTTGCCATTTGAAGTTAGCAGTATTGATTATGAATATGTCACTGAAGAAATGGCTTTAGTGCCATTAAAAGACACAGCTAGGCCGGGGATTTAGCTCAGTGGTTCCGCTGCCTGCCTGACAAGCGCAAGGTCTCGAGTTAGATCCCCTGTACCAAAAAAAAAAAAAAAAAAAGCGAAATCTCTTCATCTGTATAAAGCAGTAAAAATAACTGATTTTTCTTTAAACTTTGTGAACATATCAGATATAGCCATAGTGGTACCCTGTGAGGGTTGGTAATGATGAAGGATTTAAAGTAGTTGTGTTTGGGCCGGGGATTTAGCTCAGTGGTTTCGCCTCCTGCTGCGCAAGCACAAGGACCCAAGTTTGATCCCCAGTACCAAAAAATATTTTAAAAATTTTAAAAAATAAAGTAGTTGTGGTGGTGCGTGCCTGTAACCTCAGCACTTGGGAGGCTGAGGCAGGAAGATCACCACAAATTCAAGGCCAGCCTGGGTTATAGTGAGACCCTGTCTCAAAAAAAAAGGGATTTATAAATTAATACATGATGCAATTGCTGCTGGCAAGTCACATTTAATGAAATAGTGCTGCATCATACATCAAAGAAATTCATGTGAGAAAGCTTTATAAGTGGGTGTTATGGGAGCAGGGCGTGGTAGTGCCCACCTGTAATCCCAATACTGGGGGGGGGGTGCTGCTGAGGCAGGAGGATCTCTGTGAGTTCAAACAGTGAGTTCAAGACCAGCCTGACCTATGTAGCGCGGGACCTTATCTCAAAACAACAAAAAAAGGATGTTATGCAAGTCATCATCAAAGCTGTGAATTTCATAAGGCCCTACGGATCGAATTACTGCCAATTCCACGAGTTCCTTAAGAGTAAGGATGCTGATTATAAGGACATCATTTACTCTTTTGAAGTGAGGTGGCCAAGCTGGAGTAAAATGCTGAACAGATTTTGTGAACTGCAAAATGCTATCATCATTTATGGAATCAAGGAAACTGAAGATAAAAAATTCACCAGGTTAGCATTTTTAAAAATTGGACTACTCATTTAAATAGGATAAACGTGTCATCAAGGTGAAAGTCAAATTATTTGTGCTGTATTTCAAACCTTATTAGTGTACAAAGTGAAATGTAAATTATGGTAAGTTCAAGTTATGACAGATACTATGTTTTTTGACAAACTGGCTAACCAGTCCTGAGAACAGTGGAAATTATGCAGCCTTCTTTGTTTTGACACAGGCGTTTGAGATAGGTTGTTTCAATTATCAATTTTTTGGCATATCTGCAACTGCATTTTCATTTGGCATACATGCGTTGCCTGTAAATTTTCCAATGGAATGTTTGGGTTACAATCAGACGAGATCAGGGGTGTGCAGGGTGGTACGGCTGTCGAGTTACAATCAGACTCAGACGATCAACTCAAAGGAGAATTGGATCATGTCACTTCACAGTCCAACCTTAAGTCATGGCATCCTTTCCAGCAGTGTGTATGTTTGTGAACGACTAAATAAAACCAATCAAGCAAGTAAAAAAATGAAAGCACTTACTCTATACAAGGCGTTATTCCAAGTACTGAGGGAAAGGGAGGGAGCTCATCTGGGAATCCAACAGGAAATCCATTAGCTTTTATTAGGCAGGATGAATTAAAATGGCAATGGCAGGGTGAGAAACAGGGATTTGTGTGACAAGGGAGATTCTGAGTTATACCTCAAAGACCTCAGTAGGATTCTTGAGAGGCAGCCGGGTGTGGTGGCACACACCTGTAGTCCCAGCAGTCAGGAGGCTGAGGCAGGAGGAAAGCCACAAAGTTGCAGGCTAACCTGGGATACATAGGGAGTTCAAGGCCAGCCTGAACTATATAGCAAGACCCTGTCTCAAAAAAAAAATTCTTGATCAGCAAAGATGGCTGAGAAGGCATCATGAACACAGGTAAAGGCACACAGGGCATAAGACCTATATCTAGAAAGGGAGTGTGTGGCTGTATTCTTTTCTTCATGTAGTGACAATTTTTGGGGAGGGGATTACAGGCATGCACCACCATACTTGGCACAGTTAAAACTAATTTTATGTGTCAACTTGACTGGGCTGTGAGTGACCAGATATTTGGTCAAACATTATTCTGGAGGTGTCAGTGTGAAAATTTCTGGATGAGATTAACATGAATTGGTACCTAGTAAAGCAGACTGCCCTCCCTAATGTTGGTGGGCCTCGTTCAGTCAGTCGAAGGCCTGCACAGAACAAAAGGGCTAGCCCTCCCTTGAACAGCAAACTCCTGCCTGACTGCCCTGAGCTAAGTTATGTTTCTTCCGGCCTTCAGATTGAAAATAAAGACACCCACACTTTATAGGTCTGCAAGATGCAGGCGCCTGGACTGGAATTACACCATGGGCTCTCCTGGGTCTCTAGCTTGCCAAGTGCAGAGAGATCTTGGGGACCAGTCCCATGAGCCAATTCCTTACAAGTCCTCTCTTCCTTTGCATATGTATTGGCTGTTTCTCTGGAGAATGCTGATTAATACACAGGCCTAAACATCAGAAGGGAGATTTCTAATCCCGATGGTGACTGCTGTTCTCAGAATCTTAGCAAAGGTCTTTGCCTCACCTGTTTTTACTCTGTGAACAGAGAAAGGACAGAAGCACAGGAAGGGACTGGCAGGCTTCAATCCATCCGAGCAGTCAGACTGCTTTGCACAACTCGGCCTGAGCCAGCAGCTCTGGGACAGAAGCCTTCCCCCCACAGATGCGTGGGACTGGGAAGAGCGAGCAGAGAGCAGTCTCTGCTCTACCCCATATGAGTGCCACACACATGCTACCTCACATGTCCTCGAGGCAGACAGGAACCTCTTCTCCCAGCAGCTCTCACCAATGACTGTTAGCCTTAAGCCCTTCCTGGGCCTGGAGGTGACTTGCAATGGCTCACCAGGAGAAGGCATCTTGCAAGGCCACAGACCAGCCAGCTGGGCTGAGGTGATCCCTCAAAGGCCTTAAAAAAGAGGCAGGGGCTGATGGCTGAGAAATAAGCATATTGTCAAGAGGGTTGGCAGGACCCCAGCCTAGCCCATATGCTGGTAAAAGATACTCAATACTTATGCTGATGGCAATTTTTCTACAGAGCTTAATGCCAAGTCCAAAAAACTCAGTGCTCTCTCACCTGCTCCACTTCTAATTTAAATTGTTTTAAGTGTATTCTGGTCTAAAAACTGAGGATTAGGGAACACAAGACACCAGACATGGAGGTAACAACTATCCTGTCATATTGCTTTCCTGCCTCTGCTGCTTATCATGAATCAGTGAAAAATGCCAGCCTTGGCATTTGTATGAGACACTTTTATGTGGGACAAAGACATGAGCGATGCTTTTTCAAAAATAAATAACTTTATTCTAAAATAAATCCAAATAACTGTAATTATTGGGTAGGATATTAAGCAGAGAAGAGATTATGACAATGACAGAAGCCTTAGTGGAAGCAAGGCCATTAAGGCTTCAAAGCAAGAAAAGGTTGTCTAAGCCTGACTTTTGCCCACGTGGGCTAGAGTTGGTGGCTATCAAATTAGGTCTCAGTCATTACTTCTGCCAAGCTGGGTCCAGCTGAATGGTCAATGCTGCCAAGAGCCCACAGAGAAGGCAAAGGGGCTGACAGCAGGAGTGGCAGCCACCAGCACCCCAAGTACTACCTGTCAGGTCAGCCCAGCCTCCCAGTGCAAGCACATGCTGGCCTCTCTTTCTCAGGGTGTGCAGGTGCTCAGGGCACCAGGCCATCTGGCAGGAAACAAAGCAAAGACAGCATTCCTTGCCTACTTTCTAGCAAAGCCTGAAAGCCAGAATAAAAAGCAGGTTACCTGCATGACAGCTCTCAGATCCTGACTAACCATGTGGGGAGCCTTGTCTTTCTTATTCAGAATAAAACAAGATGCCCAGCAGTTATGCATGTGAAGATCATCTGAGGAGCTCTACCTGGCACCACCCAAAGGCTGGGCTTGAAGTCAGTATCCTTTGGTCAGACAGAGCCACAGGCCAGGCTGGCTGGAACCTACTCAGATGGCTTAATCCAGCAGAAGATGGCAGAAATGTAAGACAGGGGCCCTTTTCTGGGGAACTAAAACCTTGAATTCCAGTCTAAATAGCCACCTGACCACTCCTGGGTGTAGAGATTGATCAACTACCTACTGACATGCTTGGAGATGAGCTGGACTGCAGATGGCTTGGGGCTGTCAGTCCTAGCATCAATGGTCACACAAGATTCTCCCAGCAGGGGGCGATCTCTCATCGGCAGCCCAAGTAAACGAATGCAACCATCCACAATGAGTAGAGTTTGGGACATTTAATTATTTAATTCCTTTTAAAGAGATTATTGGTGCAATTAGGAAAGGAGCATGCAGATGGGGAGGAGGAAGTTAAGAGAAAAGATTTAAAAGAGGCAAGTACCATTTTCCAAGTATAAAATGGGGTGTAGAACCCAATCTGACATCTGCTAGCAACATCATACCATTAAGAACCCTACCTATCTGGCACAGAACAGGTATTTTGTGCTTTCACACACAAATGCACATAAAATGAAAAGCCTTCAGAAACATTAAATCAAACTAAGACTCTTAATCAGAAATTAAAGTGGCTATTGTAGGTCCCTTTGAGAACACCATCAGGCCCTGGCACTAATGCAGTCACAGGA